TCTTAGTATTAGACAGTCTATGGCTGCACAACCTAGTCCGTCTTATAGCGTGATCACGGATAGTATGACCCCCGAAGGGCCCCAGCAATCACATAGACATTTGAAGCAGTGCCCTTCTGCACCTGCTTGGTTCTCACATCTCTGGCCGCTGTCGAAGGATCGAGTGTTTAGTGCAAAGATACGTGGTTTTGGACACATGAACGTTGGCGCGGCAAGCCCCAAAGGTTCCGGACTCGCGGACTTCTTTCTGCTGCTCGATAGGCCTCGTATCGCACCATTTGGCCATAGCGATCCGTTCTCTTGATGGTTGGCGGCTAGCTAGCCTTTCGCTCCGTCGCATTGATGGCGCAGATGGATGCGTATCGGAATCCATGGGCAAGCGAGGCATATGTCACGGACGCAATCGAGCAAGTTGCTGGGTAGGTCCGCTACTCCATTGGGGGCATGGGCAGTGCACCGTCGAATCAGCAGCTGGACAGTTGTCTAACTTCAAGCGCCGTTGTGGAACATGGTGGCTCCGAGCTTTCAAGGCCTCAACTGACCATGCTCCGCCGGTGGACTGTCTCCCTCTAAGCGTCTAAGCATGCTGTTCTCACATCAGCCACTTAACTTCCCTAGAGTTCTTACCCCTTTCTATGTCATGCGACTTCCGTCCGCGGGCAAATCGTCGCAGTAGGCGGGTGCACAGATTGTGATTGTCCACATCAGTCAAGATTTCCCTTTGTTGCAGGGCTGCTCGTTAATTCAAGGTCAGTTGACGTTGGCAGCTGCTTCTTGTTCACAGAGCGCCTGCTCCGCTGCTTCCTGCCTAAAGCACGTGAAGTTTCAGCCTGCGCTATTGGTCAGTCCGCAACATTAGCATGAGACATCCAGCAACTGCGCAAACAATAAGATGTCACTCCAGAAGGAAGATACTCTCTTGGAGAAAAAAACTCCCAGCACCCACTTCAGGGTATAGCAGGGCTGGCCCAGGAGCAAGCGGAGCAAGCCGAGGAGGTCGGAGAGCCCAGCACATGGAATAAGCTATGCGGCAGTCTTAGCTCAGAAGCCTCTGCATAAACACCACTTTGCTGCTCACGTTGAGCCGTTCTCTGCAGTCGTGAGGTTGCATCAGTGTACTGCCATGCGATACTGTCCTGCGTATGGTCTATAGGACCTAGATGCACGACAAGCGCAACAGCATTTAGTCGATGCCATGTACATCCAGTCGCCACTGTGAAAACTGTGAGCTGACCTTTACCAGAGAACTATTTTTTGTGCAGATGTTTGGATTTTGCAGGGAACCTTCTCGTTCAAACATTTACATTCTAGCCGCCAGCATGCTATCCACAGGATGTACATGTACAGCACATGTCCAACTCACTCTCTACTGCAGAAGTCCTCACAACTGTTTTGGCAGGAACATAGCACACGCGCAACATCTGGTCCAGTCAAAGTGCTATGTGATAAACCGAACCCGCTCACGGAATTAGATATGCACAACAGGAGGCTCCTCCGGCCTTCGCAGTATGTACATCTTTCCCAATGGGTCTGGGAGGGCGGGCAAATCAAATCTCTGGATGTTAGTGCTTGAACAGCTGGTGGCTAGAATGTGAGCAATCACATGACAAGGTGACAGCATGTAAACGTTAAAACAGATTTGAGCCAGCATGAATACCGCTTGTGTGATCAGCCACTCACGCGCCCTGCTCATGCCCTTGTTGCAGCTCCTGCATCAGCGATCGTCCGAGGGAATGTAAAGACCTAAGAAGAAATCGAGCTTGGCGCCATTGGCGCAAACTGCGCAAACCGTGACACTTTGATCTTTGCAATAGTCAAAGCGTTCTTACTGAAGTATTTGCTTACCCTGCGAGGTCCACTTTGCCGCATGCCTTTTCTGGAGACCTCGTACTTCGAAACTTTCGAGCATCACAGAGAGCAAGGCTTTCTCAAAATTCTGATCAAAGGTAGGGATGACATGAAATGTCGAAAAGCAGCTCTGTAAATCTCGCTCTGCCTTTGAAGGGCAGACCGCAGACCTCTTTCCTTACTTTTCTGGCAGAGTTTCGGATGCGCAGAGCGAAGCTGAGCGACGCTGAGCTGCTGAGCTGGGCAGCCTAGGCCACCGCCTCCTAGGCGTCGCTGAAGCCGACATGAATCTCACGGGAATTCACGAAAAAGTTGTCTCTGTTTCTCGGCATGAAACAGACATCTCATTAGAATACTTTGTCGGGGCATCAGCCATCACCTTCACTCACAATGCTCTTGAAGGCGCTTCATTTGTAGTGGCGTCCACACGGTCTGCTGCACTTGCTTCATGTTCAAAGTCAGGTCCCTCCCTATGTGTCCAATGCAAGGAAGCGATTCGTCACAAGGCTGGGAACTCAATGACTCCTCAATGACCTCTTGGCACTGCGTACGCCTCCCTTGAGCTGGCACGCCACGTGGCCACAGCGATCGGCATTGCCGCTTCGCTCAAGTTATGCCCTGCCTATGCTCGGATGATGGATTCAATGGGGGTGTGCCACACGAGCAACCGGGCACAAGTGCTTGGTGAGACGCCTCCAAAGTATCCTCTCGCTGCGCATCAACGTCAAACACATGGCCGCTGCAGTTACAGTTGGTTGCCTGCTGGCCAGCGAGGGGCCACCAAGGCGTGTTCCAGCCAGTAAACCGTTCTTCGATACAATTGCCTCCAGCTGCACAGGTCACTGCATGACATCTTCAAGCACCCCAATTGGGCCAAGCACGGGGCATATCCCCGGCCCAACAAAATTGCCTGAGAAAATGAGTGTGATAAGGCGTTTGAAAGGCTCCGCTACTCTCAACGTTGCTGTGACACTTTTGAAAACCAATATGATGGACGCATAGGATCCTGCATGACCTGAAAGGATCAAGCATGCAACTTTAAAGAACGGAAGGGTGCTGGGCAAGCAAAATCACTCCTAAGGTTTGCACTTTCGGGCATTCTGGTTGCACCAGCGCGCTCCACTCTAGCCAGCCCAACTTGCAAACTGGAGGAATTTCAAATTGGAATCCGTGAAATGCAGACTCCAGACCACGTCTATTTGCCCTGTTGCTTTGCAGCGTCCAAGTTTCTGACAGTCTGCCGCCTTCCGCCTGCCCATGTGCGTTCTGCTATTGCAGGTCTGCTCGGGCCCGCCTGTTTTGTCTGCTCGGCTGACATAATTGCAAGTCGCACCAAGGATTGCAAATTGCGAGCAGTTTGCCTGCCATCAACCAGATTCTCATGCGTTGACCCTCTGTTACTTGACGCGCAGCTAGCGCTGGCTGGTTCAGCTTCACGCTCGTGAAAAGAGACTGGTGGTCTTGGCGGGTCCCTTAAATTATTGCCCTTTTCATAAACAGCCTTCACCGATAGCCAGAGAAACTCACCGATAAAGACAATTGTTTTATCAGTTGTTCGATCAGAGTGTTTTCTGTTCCAAGTGATGCTTTTGACCGATAATGCTACCGATAACATACCGATAACACGTTTGAGCACTTGACACCCCTGGGCAACCCATGGCGGAACCAACGCTGTACCGTGATGCGACTTAACTCACCCGCACGTAACAGTCAACCACTACAAACCCAACGCTACTGTTCACTTTCGCATCATGTGCTGAACCTCTTGGATATGTTGTCGAAGAGCAAAGCCCCAGTCAGGGGAAGTTTGCCGACAACACTGTGTCAAGGAAACCAAGCTTGGGAATGGGTTTCTTCTACTGCATAACTGGTCGTGTCAGTTTGAGTTGTTTCCACCTCCTGCCTTTAGACCCTGCCGGCAAAAGGTGAGGTCATGCGCCATGGGCTTTAACAACTTCCTCCGCCGTGCGGTTCATGTGCACGAGTCTCATCGTCATCATCAGCTGCAGCTTGAGCACGCTGAGCCGTCATGGCGCTTGCAACTCAGAGCTTGTAGCCTCAAGGGCTTTGTGCGACCGCATGCGCCTTGAGAACAAAGCAGTGGCAACCACAGCCCGTGCCCCCACGGCCGTGCATCCTATGACCCGCCCTGCGGTCTTGCGGTCGCTGCCCACAACCCATGCTTCTGCCGCCCCGGCCCACGACCTGGCAGCCCCGCAGCCTGCAGGCCATTTCACGCCTCCCTGCAAAAATCAGCCTCTACCAAAAAGTCTGGCGGAACTAGGCCCTGCAAAAAGTCAATGTGGGGTTTGTGCTACAAACAGGATTTAACTCGAAATCCATTACAAAAACAATTTGACAGGCGAGGACAAGGAGGATGTTAGAGCTCCAAAACCCTGACGGGTGAACGGAAGTTCGCGTGACTTGAAAACCCGAGGCACCAAGTCGACAAACGCAGCCCGCCAACTGGCTTGCCAGGCTTGACTTGAGCATTTAGGTAAGCTACTCTTGGCCGTCGTGATGAGGCTTGTCAAAATCTGATCAGCGCTCCGCCTGCCCATCCGGCATTTGGTGCGATGCGATTGAGCACTTAAGACACCGTGTTCAGGAGCTGCAGGTCCTGCGCAGTCTCGTTTTGGACTCCTCGGTTGACAGACTTGCAAGTCGTATCAAGGGATTCAATTTACGAGCTGCTTGCCGGCCTCCGTTCACATTCACAGCCGTTGACCCTTGGTTGCTTGCTGAACAGCTGGCGGCCAAGTAGCGCTGGCTGGTTCAGCCTTAAGCTTCTGACAAGAGGCGGGTGCTCTTGTTTTTTCTTTCGAATGGGCCTCGCTCTTCACTTGCAAAGCTACGTAGCTGGTCACATCATCACTTTGAGCGGCAATGGGACGAACCTTCGATCCATGTCCAGTTGTTGTTAGCACACACGGTTGCCTGTCGAGCCAGGCGCGGCCGCGACACGTTTGGGCCTAGTGACTGTCGCTTTGGATGTTAGCCTTTATGCCGCTTGCTTGCATGAGGTGAGGTTATGAGCAACGGGCTTTGTGCGAATTTCCTACGCTCCCCGGCGCCCACGTAGCCTCTTGAGAAGATGCCCAGCAAGAACTAGAAGATTTAATTACCCCATTTGCTGTGGTTTTCATCATACGCGTGTGCTTGTCTTTTTGTTGTGGCACCTTCGAATGCAGCAGTAGGCTTCTTAATCTGTTTGAGCACAGATCCAGACAAGAGTAAGAAATGCATCAGGCAATCAGGCAAAAGTTCCAAACATGCTTGCAGCCCTTTCGAAAATGCATCAGGCATTTTTCAAGATACCCTGCCTCCAACGAAAGGGGGATGGCAATTGGCTGGAACCTTTGCCGCGTGCTTCCATTGCTCAAGTCCAGTCGTCGTTGGCGGCCTCCGTCCACATTTCTCAGCTACTGACCCTGGGATGTTTGCTGCACAACTAGCGGCCGCATGAGGGTTGTCCAAAAACCTTTGTCAAACCAAGCATGACATAAATTGTCAAAACCCTGCTCGCGCAAGCTCCGCGAAAGCACCGCGCAAGGTTGGCGTCACAGAGGCAGGTTTCCACGCTGATTCTTTGAAACTCACCCAATCAGCGCCAACAGCCAGCCACTGACAGCAAGAAACTTGCCCACGGAGACAGGTTTTCACGCTGAATTTTGAAACTCGGCAGTTCTTGGTAAGGTTTAGGGTTATCGCTTTCAAAGTTTAGGGCTAACGCTTGGGAGCTCAGCATGGGAAGATTGTATGTTATCGTGCACAATCATGGAAGCCCCCCAGGGTTTTCTCCCCCACACCCCTGTTGCAAACCAATGCTTGATTTCAAACTGAGCAAACCCTTGGGGGCTGGCATTCGTGATAATGCGAAATAGGGCGCCCAATCAAGTTTAGGTCTAGGGCTGGAGGGTTCTGGATGCTGATTGCACGTCTGTGATCGACAGGCCAAGAAGATCCATTGTAGCCATGATTCCTGCGGGCAACAGGGTCTGGTTGGCAACAACACATCCCAACAATGACAAAAGACACCCCGGCACCGCTGCCCTGTTCCGGAGTGGCCTAAAGTTTGCTGCGCGTGCACAACATGCGCGTATAGCTCTTGTCAGCTTCTAGCCCATGACGACCCCTGAACGTCTTTGGCAGCGATGCGGCGACGTTCAAGAAGTGGTTGGTTGCTGGCCAGCCTGACCATTTAGGCTTCATAGCAAAATCAGCCATTTCAACATTATTTTGCGCCAAACTGCGCGCACGCAAGCTCCGCGCAAGCACCGCGGAAGCCCCCAACTCGAGATGAAGGAACGTTGGACAACCCCCAACATGCATCCTGCATGGCACTTTGAGCCGATACATTTTAGGCATGCGGTTATCATGTCCCTGCATCGCATCCGGGAAGACTTCGTGAAGAAGCAGCAGCCTGGCGAGCATTGCTACGTCCACAAAGGGGTTGCCTAAATTAGGGGTTCCATTCTGGAGGGCCCAAGAATAAGGATGATAGAACTTGGGGTCTATATTGGGGTCTCCTCATGTAGAGAAACTAGTATCACTAGTTTTGAAGCAATACATAAAAAAAGGATGATGAGGATCATTTCTAAGCATGGGAGTCTAATGATTCGCCAGCGTAGCGCTGGGAAATGCTAGGCCAGCGCTAGAGTTTTTTTTATTTAATAGCGCGTCTAGACTCATCACATCTTGAAGGGATGGATGCGTTTCCGGAACTGTTCTATTACCATCTATGATGTCATAACTACTCCAGATATGCTATATCACAGTCCAGAGATATGAGCCGGACCCAGTACTTGTCAAAGTGACCCACGGCAAGGGGCCCATAATGTTTGAGAAGCTCCATGTGGCAGCATGTGGTCATCCCTTTAAAGCAGTCCTGGTCTGCAGAACGAGGCGGAAGATGAAGCACTTGGACTGGTACATGACGATGAAGAAGACCAGCGACAGGAGGAACGCCAAGTATTACGCCACCTGGTGCATGTACCTGAAGTAGAAACATTAAAAAAGGCACCGTTCCTGTAATTTGGGAACAGTAAGTTGGGCAAACTCCCACTGTCATCGTTTGCTGTTGTCGGCTATGATGCCGGTAAACAGCTGAAATCCAAAAATGGGTTTCTGAAAACTGGGGGTCTTTCATTGCTGCCGTAAGACCAGGGCCAGAGTTGTAGGTCTTATGGGCGGAAACACATGTCAGCTGGACTGAGGTTTGATGTCGGGCTGCTGGCATGTAGCTGCAGTTGGGTGGAAGGCCGCATCTTGAGAATGAAGTTGGATCCACAACTGTGACCCTCCAGAAATGGGAGTGGGAATATACCCTAAGCCCTGAGCAGACTGTTGCATGAAACTGTACTGGCTGTTACTGCGACGGGCAGTGCTCAAGTTGGATGGTTTCTGGTCATACTCAGTCCGTATCGTTGCCGAACATCTTGCAAGCAACTGATCATGATATCTTGCAAGTTAAAGATCACTGCCATCACTACAACTATGATTGCCGTTGCGATTGCAACGAATATTCTTATCATCTTTTACGAGTAACCACGCCCGCCACCGCCACCCCCACCTTCAGCAATACCACCACCACAACAATCTGTTACTCCTAGTACATCTGATACAAAACCTGCTACCACTACTTCTGCCGCTGCTACTACTGCTACTACCACTGATATTCTCAGTAAGTACTGCTTTTACTACTGCGGCTGCTGCTGCTGACTAAGTACTGCGACAACTAGTACGCTACAGGCTGCTGCTGCGAATGCTGCTGTGACTGCTATACTGTTACTTGTACATATAACACTTTGGTAAATATTTTGGTAAATCTTATTCTCATCTTACTACCACTACTACCACGACTGCTGCTACTATTGCTACTGCTACGATGGTTATTGCTATCATTTTGCTGCAGGTACTGCTACTCCTAGTACTAGTGCTACATGCCGGCGACCAGTACTCTTACTCGCCTTGTTGCCGCTTCTGTGGCCATTGAAGCCCACGTACGATGAAAGCTCTCTCTGATGCAGGCCCCAGACAAGTTCACGGCCCACCAAAGTGTGAGGCCTGCACCTAGCAAGGGGTAAACGCAGCTACAGGGCTGACGGAGAAGGAACTGCATTGGTGGATGAGAAGTAGTGGTGGTGGAAGTAGTAGGAGGAGGGAGTAACGCTGACAATGTAAGCTGTCACTGACGATGCTGTGTTTCTGTCTACCCCTTCTGATGATCAGCAACTAGGGAGACGCTTGGCCAAGGGCTGCTATGAATCGTTGCCTCCAGCATTCCAATATTCCATCGTGGTTCGATTCTTCAGGTCAGGCGGAAGGAATCAATAGCAACTTGCTTTCACTATGAGAAGACCAGATTTTTTTCAGACAGACCACCAGCAAGAACCAATTCATTTGGCACGCTGCAAGGCAGCACTCTATGCCTTGGCGCAGCATTTCCACAACAGAAAGTAGCAACGTCTCTGGATCGGTTTGACCTATAGTGTTTCGGCGGCGGCGCAACAAGTGTGCTCACTTGAGTGCTACCAGTTTGGCTGTATCTGGCACGTTGACATATCAAGAGCATTCTTTCCACGTCTAGGTCTAGTTGGAGGTATCATCGTATTTGGAACGCACATGCTGGGGACGTGGATCCTGTAGCGCCCACTGAAACACGAGTCTTGACACAAACATGCCGTGACACACGAGAAGGAAGTTGCCATGCAAACATGTACAGACCTCCAGCCGCTGGGCTCAGAGTACCGCGCTCGCCCGGATATTGCCACGTGGCCCGTGGTCGTGGCTGGGCGGTGCATATTTCATTTGAAACCTATAAGAATGATGTGCAATGATGGGGTGATCCAGTGTCTGTGTTCTTTCTTGAATTCTGAGTTGGAAGGATTTTAGTGCTTGCTGATGTTGCTGCTGCATGCCATTCAGGATGTATGGCGAATGGCCTTCCTTAAGATCCGGAGTGCTGGACGTCATGTAAGCACTCCGGTGCAACACGCAGTTGTGCCCAGGGCATGGTGAAGGTGACGGTTGGCAAGGCGGAAGACCCCTGGTGCGAGATCGACCTCACAGAGGAAGACGTGGAGGAGTGACGGTGGGATGTGCTACTTGCAGAGTCTCACCCCGAAATCATGGTGAACAGAAGGCCTCTCTGGCATGCGTCTTTCTGGCTTCATCCATGTGACGGTGGTACTCTTAATCACACAGACTCAGCACTCAAGTGATTGAAGTATCTGGAAAGCCGGCTTGAGCGCCTTGTGCTTCTGGAAGGAGAGTGTTTGAGATTATAGTCCACCTTCTCAGTGTTTTTGGTACAATTTTCACATTTTGGGTGCATCTGTTGAGCTCCGGATGTGCGACATACTTTGTCAGTCTCGGGCAATTCTCGGCTGCCAGAGCCTCCAAGAATAGCAGATACTGACTGCAGAAGAAAACATCGATCGATACAGTTATCCTGTTAGTTATCATCTGCGTACTCTTGCATGTCTCAGCATCAGCAATACTGCGGATTGTAGGAGTGTTTCTTGCTTGGGACAGTGGCACTGCTGTTGTTTCTGCAAACTACATACGTGCGGCCTCCAGGATTGGAGGAAGGGTGTAGACATCACCGAAGAGAAGCTCAAGGAGGCAAGTTGGGCTCCGGATGAGGGAGCTCGGGGTTAAGGGATTGGATTTGGGATTTTTAGAGGCCGAGGGGCTTGAAGTTTGCAGGCCAGTTGTTGGGTGACTATCACTTTCTTTTTGTCGAGGCTTTTCACACGTTGTTTCGCGCTGTGTTAGACCTTCTGCTAGATGATCCTGTGCTTCAATCACATTTCAGAGATCTATTTTGATGAGGTATGACCCAGGACCGCCAAGCAAAAACCTTCCAGAGAAGAGGTTCTACACTGACCTTCTCAAGGCGTCCACGGGAGAGAAGGACTGCTTCAGAACACAGACACCAGCCCAAATCCCGAGTGTTTAAGCTGCTATGAACAAAGTACAGAACCCCACGCTGGGAACAGTGATGTAGGTAAACTCCCACCTGGCCCACTCCTGCTCCAGTCGGAGCCACAGGCTAGGGTGTAGAATTACTGTCCAGACCGGGCGCGTCTTACTGCAAGCAGGAACCTGCATGCTTCCAGCCCGGCTGGTTGACGCTGTAATTAGAGGCGGTGGTCAGGGTACTTGTAGGAGCCAACACACGCAAACCTGAAAAATTGGTGTTGTGTATGGAACGCTTCCACGAAGGGACTCCCACCACTTCTGCATGCAAGAGCCTTAAACCACAAAATCGCCCAGGTTATCCAGTTGCCACCTATCACCCTCGACAACTGCCATGAGCGCGAGGATGGTGACCTGCAGCCGCTCGACTATGAGCAAAGTGAGCGCACCCTAGGGAAGTGCCGCAGTCACGGAGGGGCTGGATCATGCTGGGCTGTAAGGGGTATCAGAAGTTCAAGGGTTCTCGCCATTGCCATTCTTCTGATTTCCAGTATTAGTGCTAATCTAAGTATAAAGTCTGGAGAACAAGGCTCCTATACAATAGTTCAAAGATTGCTAGCTCAAATACAGTTAGAGCATGCCACGCCTCGAATGTGCCTTCACGTGCTTTCCTTGATCTCGACTCCAGCATCATTCTCGCGAATGGCGAGTCTTATTGTTGGCCAGCCGAAGGACAGCAGAGGTACATGGCACAGGCTCATCATTTTCCAGTGACTTGCAGTGGTCTCCACCTGTGGGTATGTTTTAGCCTTTGAGTCTCCCTATACATCCTCAAAATGTTCCAATCTTGAGGATAAGCACCTACCAAGAGGGCTCCCCCAGTCAGTCAGGTGGGATGAAATCACCTTCGAAGAGGAGGTGAATGGCAAGTATTGGCACCTTGGAAATATCAAGTGCGCTGTCCAGCGAGCAAACATTCCTTTTACCTTGAACTTCTACTAGCAGTCTTACCGTAGGACTTCAGCAATCTTCTTTGTCTCAAGTTTTTTTAGTATCGGCGAGAAGTTTGGCTTGGCGGCTAATGGAAAGGCATGCGGTCATCATGGCCCTGCACCGCATCCGCGAGGACTTCGTCAAGAAGCAGCACTTCGCCTTCACAACACATTTGATGGCTAAGCCTTGAGGGTTGACGGTCGAATGCCTCGATTGCCTTAGGTTTTATGGCTAAGGGTTGGTGCGGTTAAGGATCCCGTAGTTCAATTAGTTTGGGGTTGGTGGCTTCATTACCGTGTCTACAGGTCCTTTCCTCTGGGTTTACAGAGAGACACGGAGTACATAAATGAGTTTTCACGGGCTTAAAGAGATCGTACAGAGCGTGTGTAAGGACAGTGCATGAGTCATGCAGCGTACTGGGCAAGGAATGTATTTGCTACATCAGGGCCCCAACCAAGTATTTCCGTTGCCCGGGGTGGGGATCCCTTTTACTTCACAACTCTACCTAAACCGCCCAAATTAAATCCCAAATGCTGATAAGCCCTTAGGCCCTGGACCCCAAGTCCTAATAAACTCTAATCCCTAAATCCTAAACCCATCCTAAATCCTAAACCCTAAGCCCAGGCGCAAGATGAAGCACTTGGATTGGTACATGACCATGAAGAAGACCAGTGACAGGCGAAACGCCAAGTACTACGCTGCTCGGCTTTTCAGCTTTGATCTGCTGGTTCAGAGAGCGGAGCCGCTCAAAATGGGGATCCTAGGGATACATAGGGGTTACACGGGGATGAAGGGGGGCCCCTTTAGGGCTTCTAGATTCAGATGCGAGTTAGGTCCATGAAGGGCGAAGCCAAGGTCTGAGCCGCCGTCGCAGAGATTCAAGGTACAGGCACCTGCATGGGCATGTGTCAAAAGTGTGGATCCCTTCCTTGGCTCATAGTAAGAATGACTTTACTCTTGGGGTATGTGGGACCCCGGGCCTATTCAGCAAGGAATCATTTGGAACAGAGTGTGGCAACTCGCCAGGTTTGACTTTTGGATTATCTGCAAGCCAACAGGCCTAGAGATGCGTCTAGCGTTTCATCTTGGCAGCAGCAATAGTGGGGGCACCGCCCCTGGAGATGTGAGTTGCAGACTCTCGCATGCCACGTCGGCTCCTCTAGGCTAACCACAACGGTTTGCGCTTGTTTGTGCACTTTCGCGTGAGTTCTGACTTGTGTTTTGCTGTTGACAGGGCCCGTACGAACTGTTTGTTTTTTTTGGTCATTTTGCTTGAGTGATGCATAGCGCACAGAACCAACTGACGTTTCTGCCAGGCCACAGCAGCCGTTCTTCTCTGATGTGCGGTTCGCGTTTTGCAGATCTCACGTGATGCTGGCCGATGATTCGAACATGAAAGGATGTTGGATATGGGCACCGGAAGAGGCATCAGCGTGTTACGTAGATGTCTCAGCCAGCACGAGTGATTCTGCAAGCCCACGCCCACAACATACCAGCAAGTCTCAGTATAAGTACTACTCCAGATAATGGTGACGTGTGTTGTGAAGCAAGGGCTCCTGCTAGGCCACTAGGCTTTCAAACAAAGGAGTAAACACATGAATTCAGGGTGCTCCCAGCAACTATGCGTATTGCGAGGTCTTGACATCTACTGCTCAAGTTTTGCTGTCGCAGTCTTCCTGTAAACCCTTCTGGCTATGAAGCTTCGCAGAGAAAAGTGTCTCTCGTGCACAGTATGGAAGCTAGATGAATGCATGAGAGCTGCATAGCCATTCCGCACCTACTTGTAGCAAGGCGGGCTTCATGTGACCAGCTGCTAAGGCTCAGTATGGCATCATTTTACCTTTGGTGCGGAACTTGGCATTTGAATTTGGTTGACAAGAGGGGTGCTGTCGCTCAGTAAGCTACCAAAGCCATGCACATGCGCGCGTTCTGTCAGAACCTCTGAGCTGTGCAACCCTTCCCCGTTTTCATTGCAGCGTTCAACTCGCCCGCTTGCCTCCACAGGTCCGAAGCCTAGAGAACTGCCTGCCGTCCCCTGACGAGATGCAGGATCTCAACGAGGCACAGGGGGCAGCGCAACGAGAGATCGAAGATAGAGGTAAAGATAGAAAGTGCTGTAGAATGTGCTGATGCAGCCGCAGCCATTCAGGCAATCTGCTTCGTATCGGGAAGGCGAGTGTCGCATGGCCGGTAATCGAAGCATGTTGGTTCAAGCACCAGCTGCGTCATTCAGCGCTTTCTTGGGTACACCTTGGGCACAAAGCTGGCCTCAGCACCCACTCTCGCGCACTCCCTGTTTGAATGATGCAGGCCAGCTTGCGGTAGGCCGGCCGTGGAAGTGTCAGGCTCACATCCACGTGGCCATGACTGAAAGCGTTCCCTCGAGACTTGCTTCACCTGCAGCACCTCGAGATGCGGAGAGCGCCACGTGGCCCATTCTCTCGTGGCTGCCAGCACTGATCAGCGATGTTCGAATGCTCTGGCTGGAGATCTGGCGTTTTGCTCAGCGATCCATGGCAGCCTGCGAATCTGGGCGTGCTCCCTGGATCCAAGCAGCCTTCACAGGCCAGTCAGTCATTGTTCTGATTCTCTTAGAAGCCGAAAAATGTCTGTGCCCGATATTGTAATTGTCCCGAACATTGCGATTATCCCCTGTTTCTGCGGGCCAACAGATTCAACAGAACAAAGTCCAACAAATCTAAGATTGCTTTGTAGAAAGGGAACACTGGCTGTGATGATACTCCAAGCCATTACACATTACACATACAAACCACTCCTCGTGAAATCCTGCATGTTCTTTGCTGCCTCACTTACTTTCATGGGAACCCCAAACAGGGAACCCCAAGAATATAGTAGGACTATAATAGGAATATAACTACCAGGGTCCTTGAAGGCCTCTTCTTCGGGTCTCTGGCAGCAGTGTCCGCGGTAATTGCGGCAAAGCGGCCAGTAGCAGCACCTCTGGCAGGCGGCTTCCTCACTTTGCTTAATTGGAATTGGACATGTAGCCCCCCCACCCCCCCCCCAAATTTAGAACCCTATTAGGCCTTACTAAGCTCCATATAGTCCTTATTAGCTCCTTAAACCCTGAGGGGGGGGTACGTTTTGGAGGGTTTTATTCATGCTCAGGGCTCCTGGCTTAAGGTTTCACGTTCGTGCCTCAAGTTTGAATGTGGGCACTGGTTTGAGGTATATTATATGGATAAGAGAATAAGAATCATGATTGAAAACCAATTATAATAGGCCCATATGAAGTGTTATTCTTTAGGGATCAGTATTGGGATTGCATGCCTCTACCCACACTGCAGCTTGAGCACCAGGTGGCTTCTGGCTTACCCGAATCGTGGCGACGCTGGGCGTGTGTAAAGTATGTTCATCCTTCCTTGAGCAGATGGAGTATGAAGCCACACAAAATGCCTCATGTGGTGAACATTTGCATTCGGGACTGTGTTGTCTGGGAGCATGCAGTTGCAAAGACATCTTGCAGAATTGCATGTCGCACGCATGCCAGCCTGATGAAACAGAGCCTGTTGCACCATGAGTCTATAAGGCTCCGCTGGCTCTCAGCCATCTTCTTCATAGCGTTCTTGGTGGCACTTAGGCAGAACAAGGCCTGGGCTGCTTGAAGGGGGGAGGTTTGCAGCAAACAGGGTTTTTCCATCGCCCACGCCCTCAACCTCGTTAATGGCCAATGTGTCTACCGTGTATCGCGCGTAGCTCCTAGCTTGTTACCACTAGGGGTTAGTGGGGACATGTAGGGACTTAGGGAATATATATATATATGTGTATATATATATGTAGGGATTATATAGGGATTATATTCCTTTATTCCCTGCTAAGAACCAGTAAGTATTTGCGCATCCCCATGAGGCGCTGATCGGAGACACTGGAATCCTACCTGCACGGCACCTGCTGAGGTACGCAAGGAAAGCAAATCTTTTCAGGAACTTAAAATAACTTCCCATAGTAAGGAAGCCCCACGATACTATCACCAATATTGCGGTAACTTAAGCCCTAAACCTCAAACCCCAAACCTTATATACCCATATTATGGTAACTCATTTAAGTTCCTTAACAGCAGTCCATATGATGGGTGCGCTGTATTTGGGCCTACAGAGCCGGGTCTAGGGCCGCGTTATATCCCTGTTGCTGCAGCCTCACGGTTTAGGGTTCAGGGGCCCCAGTTAAGCGATTCTGGGGCGAGGCATCTCATTAATGTGGGGTTTCTCTCCAAAACAGATGGAAGCCCGCACAGAGGACAGTACAGTAGCTGTTGTAGGGCTCCTTTCAAGAAGCACAATACCTTAAACTTACCCCTACACATCCATCCCTAAATGTCCCCGACATAATCTCTACAAAACTCTTTCTTAACTACGTGGTACGCTTTCAAGCTTGGTTTAGTTTGGGGGGAGTCCCTTAGACGCGCGGACGTTACTGTCAGCCGCGCTGCTGGTGGCAGCTGGCGGGAGCTGACCTTCCATGGCAAGGTGAGATTTTGGGTTTAAAATTGGGTTTAGGACAGTTTGGGGTTTAGGGTTTAGGGTAGGACGGTTTAGGATTAAGGTGTTCAGGATTCAGGGTTCAGGAGGCTGAGGCTTCAGGGCTCACGGATTCAGAGTTAAGCAAGCATTGTCAAAGCGTTCTTCTAGGCAGTTTGGAGCTATTAGCATGCTGGCCCACCTGTAGGCCCGCTCAAAAATCTCGATAAGAAGCCACAAAAGGGTGTTTCCCAAAATCCTTTCTTGGGGGCCTCAATAACAAGGGTTCTAGCATATTCGGGTCTGTGCGGGGTCCCCCTATCTTGGAAAACTACCAAAAGGGTACCCCCAAATATTCATGGGACTGGACGGACTTGCCCTGCAGGTGAGGTGCTTTCTGTTGCGCGCGGAACGGCTCCCCACCTTGCTGTGGTTCGCTGGAACCAGGCGGAAGCCTGTTCTTGTTGCCGGGCCCTGCAAAGAATGTTAGCAGAAGGATCCAAGCTGAAGGGTCATCATACCAGACAAGTGCCTATAAGAGGGAGTCCATAAACTGCTGTTTTGGCGTACGTAAGTCTAAGTGCCAGGCCCAAGGGTGGTCTCGACATCTGGCTCGATGGCATAGCTTGGGCGGGATTGCTGCTGTCTGCGCTGGCCTTCATTGCAGGACGCTTGGTTGCACCTGGCCAGCTTTCATGAGCTTCTGTATTTCTTGTGCCGCTGCTGCTGTTGCTGCTTCCCATTCCTTCTCTTTCTCAAAGGGTTGTGTTTTCATCAGAGCAGAATTCTTCAAGCTCAAGGCATGCAAGACATGCTTGCTCACTGTAGGCTGTGGTTGCACACACTGTTCATGGGGAGCCGCTGATAGGTTGGCTCAGGCCTGAAAGCGCTAAAAGGGTGCATAACACGGAGTCCTTGGGGTTTTGACTGCAAGGTGGGGCTTCCATGCTACACCTCTTGACGCTCTGGATGCTCTACATCTCTCTGGTGGCAGTAGGCACCAGATTTTGGGTCCTGGGTCCTGGGATCCTTAGCAATAAGCTTGTGGCTGGTGCGGGTAAGGACAAGGAGTCTTCCAGTAATGTACTTGGGGAAGGGATGGCTCTCTGTGAACTGTTGTTACCTAGATGGCTGTTGCGTTGTTTGCATTTGCATTTCTGCTCTCATGCTTTGCACCTGGGTTGTTGTAGCTGAGGTTTCAGTAAGTAGATGCTGCTTATTATATGCGCACAGAACACAGTCTAGAGGCGAATTCGAAGGGGAAGCTAAGTCGGGTCATTGTCGGGTCTGACAGATGTACAAGAAGGAAGTGCATGGCATAAGGTGGAATTGGGCATGATGAGAACTGCTGGTAACAGCCCCAGCGGCTGACAGAATTGTGGTACCCGGCAAACAGCAGACCTACACCTTCCGAAGGAACTGAGCTTCTCAACCCTAAGCCTGTCGCTTTAGGGTCAGTCTTGAGCGGACGCAGTGGCTTTTGTGGTGGTTTTGTGCATAGACAGTGAAGGGCGTTTGTCGTTCAGTGTGCGGCCAACTGACGAGCAACATCTGCGGTAAACAGAACATCCTAGTACCTGTTTTCTGTCCATGGCTCTTCGACCTCATTGCAGGGCAGAGATGGTATTCTTTCGGCTGGGAGTCGCAGCTGCTGGAGTCAACGCTGCTCAGCGTGTTGGCCGCGCCGGCCATAGGTGGGAGGAAGATATGCAGCAATGATTGCATGGCGTATGGATACGTAGTAGTTTGTAAGTGGCACTGTAGTCGACATCAGTTCTAGTTTTTGCGCACCATCCGCCATGCTCAACAGACGCCTACTGCACTATGAATTGCTGGCGTGCATTCAGAGCCAGTCGCAGTCCAAGCACGGTGTCCGTCGGCATGACAAGTTTTCATTTCTTGCCTCATCATCAAGCGTGCTTGCTAGCTCCCTCATCTCCGCCACGCCCCTCTACGCACATATACATGTTCCTTGCGTCCATCGCCTGCTTGAATGTCCAGACATCGCTGCTCAACTCTTAGATCCCAGCCTTCTTTGTCACAGAGCTAGAGGCCCTAAACGTGTTACCGCATGCACTCCTGGCACAGCAAATGCATCAAGCTCGTACGACTTTGCATAACTTTCTGACCAAGAGAGTATCGCGTCAGATTCTTGTGCAGGCGGGCCCTTTGCTGAAGCCCCATCTCCACTGGCTCCGTGGGCATTCCGCTGGTTAGCTTTTCGGATCATGCTGGGCGCGGGTCTCATCAAGGCCTGGGATCTACAACTGCCTTTGAAGGGTTTTGTGTTCAGCCGTACTGAGGCGAGAGGTTCAAAGACTTGGTTGGACCTGACAGCAATGTGCGTGAGCCCCAGATTCTGCCTGAAACCGTGGTGGTCAGCTTAGCCTGTCCAGCAATGGTGTATCGAGGCCACCACATCGAGACGCAGCCCATCCCAAATCCTCTGTCTCGTCGTTTTCACAACCTGCCACGGCCTCTGCACTTGTACGCGACAGCCTCCAACCACATTATCGAGCTGGTGATCCCCGGCTGATGTGACTATCAGATAAACTTCTTGCAGGACATTGTTGGACCCTTCATTCCTCCTGCTGCTACTTCTACAGCGACAGATACCACGCAAAAGAGTTTAATCTTAGATTTGGTGTATACGCACTGCCTTAGATATGAGGTAACATGACACTACGATGACAACGCTTCACGCCTTAGGGTACGAGCGACCTCCGCAGCTCATTACTTAGAATGTATGCTGTTGTTAGAACTGCTGTCGTCGTAGTTATTGCTAGTATCATTGTTCTTCTTGTGAGCCATGCTTTGGATTGGGACTGCTCTAGTCATGGATGCTACTTCACATAGCTGAGCACGATTCTGATTCATGATCATTCATCTTAATTTAGGTTCTTGGTTGTTGTGATTGCATTCATCCTGGACGATTCTGACGTCGTGGTCAAATGTGGAACTTCACTGGTGACGTTGTTGGTACTCATGCGATTCCTAAGAGCTTTGTGGCAGCTTCCGCTTTGAATGGGAGTTTAGGATTTTGGGTTTAGGGCTTGTGCTTGGACCCTGTCACTTTTTCATGAGGCCCTCCCCAACTTCAGCTCTTAACTAAGGATGCCCTGGCTGCTGCTGGTCCCATGCAGAGCCGCACCAGCAGCCTTTGGCGCGGTGCACATTCTCTTTCAGCCCCTGGGCTCCTTATTGAAGCTAGTATACTTAGTATTCACTAGTAAACCGTAATTATAAGGGGAGTAGATTACAGCAGGTAGTCTCAGTTACAGAGGCTAGATATGCAGAGTGTCTTCTTCGATCTTTGGCTATAGATCACCATAAACATTAAGATGTTACAGGGCTGCCTTTCTCCATGTAAGGTTAACGCTCATCCTGACTGGAAACCTGTCTTTTCTGAACTGGTTAACGATCATTCCTGGCTTGTGGTGCTTTGATGATGCCACCTTAGTCGGTCTTCTGCCAGAATCCGCCGCACAATCGCTGGCTGATATTGTGCTTCGCGCAAGAGCAGCTGCCCCACGACTTGGACTTTGGGGTTGCGGGCGCGATATCCTGGCAATCTGCATTATCACCTGGCTTTCGTTGCCCGTGTGGAAAAACTTGCTTGGCCCCCGTGGTGGGGGACGTCAGAGGATGAACTCAACATTCGAGAGACGAGTGGTTCTGCCGCGGTTTGTCTCCCGCCTTGCTGGCGCTGGCAAGGATGAGGTGGCCAATGAGTCCGCGGAAGGAAGCCAATCTTCGTCACCGGCTCAGAAACGGCGGCGACTGCTATCCGAGCCTGACCTCAGTATGAATCTGCAAAGCCTTCGACTGCTGAACACATACGGTGCATTTGGATCTGTGAACACCGAACGGATCGAGATTGTGTTCGAAGGCACGCCTGATGGTCGCAACTGGTACCCGCCTCTTGGCTGAGGCGTGGATTTTGCAAGCGAGTCTTTTCGCCCGCCTTGAGTTAGGATGAGTGATGCGCATCACCCGCTTAGAGAGTCTGCGTCTCAAGGCTTCCAACATCAAATTGTAAGAGCCGCTCTTACCAGAGAGAAGTTCAGGTTTTAGAATCAAAAGGCGCGGTAATTGTATCGGAACACCCAGCCGTGAGGTGGGTTCCGGCGAAGACTTGCAAAAGGAAGGAACGAAAGGAACATAGCTTTCTCGCAACAAGATGGCCATATCCTTTGAAACAATCTTTGAGCAGCAACTGCTTGATTGCACTTTACAGCCGTTTGCGCGGCACTTCGCCAAGGTACACGTTCAAGGCAGCCGTCGACGATCCGCTGAAGCGGCCTGGCTTCTTGGCACCGTACCATCTGCGGCTGGACTGGTGCCTCAGTCTGCACATAAACATAGGCATGTGGGTGCTTTTTCATGATTGGGATGCCTACAATTTGAGGGAATCATTTTAGTGACTGGCATCCTCCCGCAGCCCGTTCCCAAACAACAACTGCGGACAGGAAGCATGCAGACTAAAGGCCAAATAAAGAGGAACTGGGAAGGTTGATTATGATGTTCATCACATGGCTGGCGTCATGAGGATCGCGGGTATTATCAAGCTGGGCATATGTAATTCCAGAGTATTTCCGTGTTCATTTCTTTCCAAACAGCGTTTTCCACATCGTGGCTACAGGTGCCGATGGATTGCTTCATGCCGCGGCAGACGCGCCAACGGTCTGGCAGAGCCCTGGGCAGCTCGGGCGTCTATAGCTTGGGTACTTAGGCATTTTTGGTTGGCTAAGGGGAGTGCCTGTAGAAGGAATTGAAAGGGGAATGGGGAGTGCGCAAGGACTCTGCACTTAAGCACCAGCAAGGAAGGGTCCAGGCAAATTCGTCGCAAGAAAGAGTCACAAGAAAACCACCCCAAGCATCCCCAGAATTCTTGTTTTTTTTCACATACATGTACATAGATACATAATACATACATATAATTGCGCACTGTGCCCGCCTTGTGGAGTACGTCTGACCTGACTTAAGAAGTCTGCGTGCCTGAGCTTTGCCACGGGGTATCGTGCTGGGGGGTATGTGGGACCTTAAACTAGACGCATGCCTTTTGCCAAGGTGCTTAGTTTTGTGGCCCATCTTCTCCGAGGGGATCCGCTGACGCGCCAACTCCTGGCCAAGGCGTGTATACCGTGTAGCCTCCGTCACCGGTGCTGCCAATGATTTGGAGCCAATTGCGTGATGCATGAGAGAATTGCGCAAGCCGAATTTGCAGCAGCTGCTTTGGCAGGGTGGCGACCCCTTCGAGCGAACGGATCCGCCGCTGCGAATCCGCGGAGAGCTCTACCAGTACCTCAGCTGCATACAGTAATTGCATGTCTTATCACTTTCTTAGGTTGCAGATACGGTCCTCGTCCGAGCAAGTCAAGCGTCTGGTCTTCAGCTCGTGGGTGGGTTGAAGGATCTGCTTGTTTCTGAGCACCTCTGTTGAGGATGCCCTTGCGCGAGACGTAGATGTACCATTCTGTCATTGAGCGTTGACATGAAGGGCGGTAGGCAGCTCTGCAAGTTGAAGTCAAACTTGCCAGGTACGTCTTCGCACCTCCGCCTCGCTCACGAGCAGAGTCTTAGCCGAACACGCGTCAGCATACGTCAGCAATCTGTGCTTGAGACTCTTCCACAGCATCGCTGTTCGAGCAACTTGCTACGTAGGATTTTAACAGTGCAAGCTATCGGCGCCTTCTGTTGCAAGAGGATTGAAGAGTGCGGGGGGTCCTCTTAAGCTTATGGTTGCATCGAAGGTCAGCGAGGGACTTTCTGCAAGCTTTGAGCCGAGGATCCTTATTGGCTTCGAGAGCGAGTGGGCAATTACTTGCCCCCTTTAGGTTTGGATGAAATATCGGCCAGGCTTGTTGACCATGGTTTGCTCTAGCAAGACATTGTTGCAGTCTGCGCCCGTGCGCCATTTGTATTCTGCGCAGTAGTAGAGTAGTAGGGTGCAGTTGCCAAGATGGCAGCGTTGCACTCTGATGGTTTCAAGATTCCGAAAGCCAGCCGAACGTGGATGCCGGTTGTGTCGCCCATGCCGACACAGCGTGCTCTGAGCTTGACGAACAGCAAAAAAGGAGAGAGAAGATGTCGTGACAACCTCCAGGTGCATGCATATTTTGTTTGGGTGTATGGATGCCTTGCCTTTACTGTCTGGCGTGATATCCGTGAACATCTGTGAACTGCTACTGTACACATTTGTTTCGGCTGCCTTATGCACCCTAATTCTCAAAACTGCACAATCGTGAAGGGACGCACTGCATCATGGCCCCATGTGCCTCCCGTAAGTGCTGATGATTTTCATTGCAGGTTGCGCGTAAAAGCATCTCGCATGAACCTAATCCAGTAAAACACGTACAGGGCCGCAGCATGATTCTTTCAGCGAGTACCATTACAGGAAGTGAGAGTTGTGCAAGGTTACCTCTGCCGGTTTGACGGGTTTTCACGTACCCTACACGAGCTATAGTCTAAACTCCTGGATTGCACAGTGGAGTATTCTATAGGGGTCATTAGGGGGGATAGTAGGAGTAAACAGTTTAGACTATAGTTCACACGGGTTGCCATACCGTATCGACAGGCTACGAGTTTCCCTACAGTCGATGGGATGGAGGTCAATCACTCTTCCGCATTGTTGGAGTCCTAGGCATGTCTACTGCGCATCTTATCTTCTCCGCTACTTTGGCTGAAGCCCATCTTACTCCCCACACCAAACAGTACACCTCGCAACCTGTGATTGTTCAATGTACTTTTTGGAGCCTCAACGCGAAGGGAAACCTCTGAAGGAAGAGTTGAAGCCTGAGCAGGATGCCGGGATGGTCGCCCGGGAGATGCGCATCATACTGAATTTGATTTACTTGCAAGTCCTGTTTCACGCCCTTGCCTTAGCTCAGACTCCCACTTAAGCATAATCATGTGACAGGACGGTCAGCAGGAGAGAGCTTTGTCTTCATTTCAAAGCTGCCGCAAGGAGAGTGACCCTGACTTCGTCCACGCATTGGGCAGAGGCGCATGAGATCAACGCTGCAGTGCTGCATCCCGCTTCTACTCGTTGCAAGGAAATGCCCTCTGCTCTTTCGGCCGTGCTCTGGGTGGTGATCCTCATCGCCAGGGTACGGGTGCCTAGCAGTCTGTACATGTCAGTGTGGCACCGAAGACTACATCTTGAGCACTGAAGCTCCAATTGGCCTCAAATGACCTGTTGTACTTGCCCTGCTCTAGACAGAAGGTGCCGAACTTCCAGCATTTGCAGTGGCACATCGCAGTTCTGCACGCGCGTAATTAGTTTCCAGGGCCATGCCTGGTACTTGCACCTCAGTAGTACGTCTGCAGGCTCCGTGACCTTGTTGATGAGTTTATCCAAGAGATTCGAACACATGGAGCAAGAATGTCCGTGAGCACCAAGCCGCTCGGAGTGCATGAGCAACGCGACAAACGAAGAATACAAAGATCCAAGGCAGGCAGAAGATCCGATGTGCGAAAATGCAGGTGAAGTCGCAAGAAAGCAGCGTGGCGACCTTTTTCAAACAAGAAGCAGTCAGTGCGCACGTGCGAAGTTGGTGGGCGCGGAAGGACGTATGTAGAGGCCTGGGTTGGAGTTTGCCCAGAAGGGACACGATGAGGTGAACAGGATCGCAGCTTAGCTACATGAGAGGTGCCAACTGGGGGGGGGGGGGGCGNNCGAGCTGGGCGATCACGGTATGCCTTGGTCGTGATCACAAATTTCAGGAGAAAATATCACAAGCGGCTTGTGAACAATTCTTGCCCAGACGATGAGAGGAGCACGCCCGCAGTTGGAATCCATCCCGATACAGTGCAGTAGAGGAGGCAGTGGCATAGAACAACACACAATGTGGCCGAAAAACTCCGAACCCACGCCGTTGCATGCGAGTGCAGCCAGCGAAGTGATCGAAGTTATTTCCCACGCCGCACAAGACGAGAATGCAAAACAGCTTTTGCTTTGCGCCAGCCGTGGAATGTGCGCAACTATCAACGGTGAAGCCGAACCCCCCCCAGCTTGCAGATGATGAGATTGCAGCAGAGTAGTGTTTGTGTTGAATCTCGGTGGCAGGGAAGATTGCGGCTCATGATGCCACGTGGTAGCATGCCGCCTCCTCAGACCACATCAGACCCCGATCGTGGTGCCGGAATGGGGCTGTCGCCCATTTCAGTGTGCTCGGTCACGTACAAACGGCTTGTGCTAACGGACGGATGGAGAATGCTACAGCCCACGACTTCTGCAGGGTCAATGTTGGTCATGTTGGACTGGCCTTTAGCAACATGATTGGGGTTGAACTTTCAAGCATGTGCCGCGCCTTCCAGAGATGGAGAAAATATTTCAACAGCATCTTGCCAACATGCTGTATTGCTTGCATGGTTCGTGAGGTAGTTGTCCACTACACTGCATTCGTCATTGGTGTTGCCCGCTTAGCTTTACTACTCCAGCTCATTGCCGTGCCCAAATACTTCGTGTGGGCAAGGGCAAGCCCTGCGCGTTGCCTCAAGGCTCCGATGCTGTGGCATCTGGGTATCGCAGCTTGCCTGGCACTGCGCAGGGTGCGTGTTCAATGCTGCGACAAGATCATCAAAAGACTGTTGTGCACGCTAAGCACAACGTGGTTCCGCGGCAGGGCAAAACCAGGGGCTATGCTTAGTGAATGGCCTCCGTCTCTCCTTTCGGAACCGAACTCGGTGAGCCTGAGCCTGCTGCAATGCCGCATGCGCAGCTGCTGGCCGGGGCGCCGTCATGCTGCCCTCCTTCAGCCGGCCAAGGTCGTATTTACCCACACTCCTCAGATCTTGCTAATCGCGTCAGGTTTTGCATTTGGCTTGACGTATGGTCATGTTGTGCTGCATGGCCGCCTAGACGCTGATCGAGCTTGAAAGCTATTACTGCAGTTCCCTCGGACACTTTCCCTGACAGGCCTCCGCGCATACCCCAAGCCTGCACTGCGTGCCCGTTTCACAGAATTGTGTGCTCACGACGTTACCTTCGCCAGGCGGCATTGCGGGAGACGTAGCACTCATCATCCCACCAGTCCGGCTGCGCACTGGTTGCCAACTGGGCGGCGCAAGGTAAATGGCTCAGCAGCTTGCCAAACCATGCTTACAAATTCGACCAAAAAAAAAACATCAAGCGCAGCACGCGCTTCTTCTAATGGGGGACTGACCCTGGCGCAGCTCCACAAGTTTCTGCGCCCATTGTAACAACTGTCGCTGCAAATGACGGATAATTGGAGAGCAGTGGCGCATGCGCGGCCAGGGTACGTTTCCCACATCATCGGCTGACGGTGAGGTGGCAACTTTGACAAGATGAGTGTATGGTCGCTGCTTCTGATGGGGTGATACGAGTCTGGTAGACAGCTACAGGTATCCCCATCATGAACGACCAATAAATCCTCAACAATCAGCGAACGCGAGGCCAACACAATGTCAATGCACGAACCTGACCTTTGCGTGGGATTGGCAGCGCGAAGCCCAACATCGCGGCACAAGGCTCGAGTCATGTCACGAAGCTGACGCTCATTGGAGCGTTCGCGATCCGAACCCATGAGCTCGGCCAAATACACCTTGCAGGTGGCAGCAATTACCTGATTTGCATTGGGGTGATGGTGGAGGGCTTCTTGTTGACGCAATGGCATACCTACATGCTGCGCATGAAAGCTGTACAGCAGCAGCGCAGGATGATTTTGTGATGACGCAAAGGACGCACCGTCGAATGCGATGAAATCCGTCTCCACACCCGCCAGCATCAGAGGGACCATTGAACTGATATGGTTGGTCGACCGGCAAGGGACCACCATTCACAGCCCAAGTTTCTTGCAAACACACGTTGGGCAGACAGAATGTTACAAATTGACGCGCCGTTTTGGCCTCGGCTGCGGGACGACCGCCTCCCCGAAGGCAGGCGGCTCGCAGCTTTGGTGACCCTTTCCACGCGTGGCAACGGGCGGCCACGGCTTGTTTGGATGCCGCAGCGCCCAAAAGCCTCCTTTCCGACGGTGGGCCCTGGCGGCTCCCGGGCCATCACCGTGCACATTCCCACCACCCCGGATTTCCGCATGCCCTCCGACTGCACGCGTGTCCGGTTGCTCAGGCGGTTGCGCCTCCGCCTGCCCCATACGCCCAGACGTTGTGCCGGACCTTGGGCGCCTTGGGTGATCACAAGGCCGCGTGCCCCACGCCAGGCGTGTTGGGCTCGCGTTGGTGCCTCCTGAACGAGCAGCCGCCAGGTTCTGCCGTGAAGGCGGGCAGCCACCAATCCTTTCCTGCGCGACATGAACGTCGATGTGTCACTGGCGGACTTTCGCAGCGCGGGCGGGCGCTTGCCGGGCAAAGCGGCGGCTGCGCGGCATGATGGAAACGCCAAACCGCACCCGGAGCTGCTGGCCGCCGGTAGGTCTCGCCTGGCGAGGTGGGCGGGCGCTTTGGCGCCAAAATGGCGGATTTTCTGGACCGCCTGGCCGCTTCCAAAACGCGGGCGGCGCCGTGGCGTCGCCAGGGCGCAACATGCCTTCACAGCCGTGGGCTTGCAACTTGTGTGTCTCACCTTCCACGGCATCGAGCCCGGACGGTTTGCCTTACGAGCTGTTTCCAGGTCTTGACGTTAATCTTGCGGCGACTCTGTTGGCCTTTTTCGAGCTGGTGCGTCGCTGGGCAATATCCCACTATTGGGCGCTCTGCCTGTGTGAGCCCGCTGCGCAAAACCGACGCTGCCGATGATCTGTATAATTATCGCCCCGTACGTCTCCTTTGCTGCAGCCTCAGGATTTTTGAGCGCTTACTATTGGCACGTTTCCTTCCTTGGGTTGACCCCAACTGGATGAAAGCCAGGCCAACTTCCAGATTGGGGCAAAGGAGCACATGTATACATTGGCCCGAGCCCTC